TTCCAGGCCATTCTGGATAGAACGAACTTAGTCATCCAAATGGACGACAAGGCCGCTAACGAGAGGCAATCCCAGCCGCATTATGTGGCTAAACACGCCTATCAACGTCCGACACATAACAATGCCGTGTTTTCTGAGGAAATCGACGACCACCACGCTGCGGCAGCATCCTCGAGTGATGGAGGAATGGTCGCAGCGCTCCCGCCGAAGCRTCCGAAGAGAGTTCGCAAGAAGAAGGCGACACAAGAGACAGCGGCGACGGGAGCTGGGCAGCAGCCAAGTACGGCTTATAAGATCACCAAGGAGGTCTATGACCTTCGTCAAAAGTACGCATACTGCCTATGGTGCAACAATGTAGTACACACTACCGCACAATGCCCGGACAAGGGCAAGGCACGCGTACCCCGTCCAGCCAACTCGGGAAACTGAGTTACGCAAGGAGAGGAGCGACGTCTCTCCTCACTCCGCCGGACCCGGTTGCCTTGCTAGCAATCGATGTCACTACCGGGGAGCATGTGTTAGTCGCTGATCCTCGTGCTACGTACAAGGATTATGCCGCCCAGCTGGTGCCACCATTAGACCAGCCAAGCCACGTGCACTTAGCTAGCGTATGCGCAACCTCTACACCGTCGGCAAGTGATCCGGTCAGTTCGCCACTGATTTCCGAGGACTCGATGGCGTGGTCAAGACTTGAGGAGCTTGACCCRCTCACGAGAGAGGACTTCGCCTGGATGCCTCTACCCTCGACCGGAACCTTGCTAAGGCCGCATTGCAACGCCTTGATGGCAACTCTACGCTCCTATTTGCACACTACAGTACCAGCTCCGTTGACGGACGACGGGGTAGCGGTTGTCGATCTCCGCTCCTATCTTGCGAAGATTGACCGCGAGTACGCCACCCAAAGGTACGCCGAAACCGACGCACCTTTGCTCTATATCCGCATTCAAATCGGAAAGGCAACCTGTAGTGCCTTGATTGATTGCGGAGCGTCTCGCAACTTTATCAGCCAAGCCTTTCTTGCCCGCGCAGGTTTTGGCCCGCGCGTTCGAAGGAAGACGCAACCTACGCAAGTTACACTCGCGGACGACCACACGCAAAAGTCAATTGACCGATGCGTTGACGGCGTTCCAGTCTACTTTGCGGTACTTGCGTGCGAGCCAGTGTCTTTTGACGTCCTCGACACCAAGTTCGACATGATTCTAGGCATGTCTTGGTTGCATAGCGCCGATCATCCGGTGAACTTCCATGACCGAACCGTTCACATCCGTGATCGGAACGGAGTGTTAGTCCCATGTACGGTCGCGACCTCTCACACTTCGATTGCTTGTCACGTGGTTTCCGTTGCGAGAATTCGCGACGCCATTGCTCGGAATGACGTCGAGGAGATGAGCCTTGTATTCTTGCATGCTCTCCCCTCGCCGGACGGACCAGCCGCGTCACCGCCGGAC